ATTTAGAGGACCATTAGCTGGGCAATGCCAATCAAACAGGAAAACAAATAAAATCATTTTCTACACGCTTATTTCATTAGCTCCTTCAGTACCAAACAATTCACTATACATTTCTCAGTCACCCCAAAGGTAACGTGATATTGTTGGTGTCGTTTATCAGACAGAGGTTATTAATTTAAGCCTGTCTGTCTTTAATATCTGTGTAGCCACTTCTGTCCCAACATGTACATATTTGAACAACTCTAAATCCAGACATGTCTTGCTTTCAAGCTCAACTCTTTGGGACAGAAGCAGTAAAAGTAACAAACTGTTTGGGACTGAAAGAGTTGATGAGCGAAAAGAGATTGTGAGAAGAAAAATAATAAAAAACTACTAAAAAATTAAGTTCTGATTTGCCTCAAGTCTATCCATGAATCACACCACCAAGTAAGCAGCCACAAAGCAACTTTATTACACAACATGGTGACATTCATTGTTAAACAATATCTAAAAACATATTCCAAAACAAATATTTGGGTGGAATGTGGGTAAACTCAATAAGCAGTATCGATCATACAACCAATGTCTTACAGTACAGCCTGAGGTTATAAGAACTAAAATGCTAACTTATTCTATCTGCCCAACGGAAGCCCCATTACCGCAATCAATAGGAAACTCGTTTTCAAATCCAGCTGCCACTTGCTGCAGCCCACGGCCGGTGTTCGAAACCGGGCAGTTTCCGGGGTTCACCCAGCCTCTAGGATACCAGAGATTACAATCTGGCGTAAAGTGAGGAATGTTGCTGTAGCTACGGGGTTGCGCGCAGACAGACCTTTTTTTATCAGCTGCTGCTACTGGTAGCAGAGCACTTATGGTTTATAACCGTGTGCAATGACACTGGTTCACATCTCCCAACTTTACATTTGTATCAACCTGTAAATAAATTCAGGTACAACAAATTATTAGTCTTCTGTCTATTTTGTACATGAATAATTAAAAAAAAAAACACTGCTACTACTGGCTGTTTTTACCACTTTTTAGGCAGCTAATGACAGAAAGATTGAACTGGTGAATTTAGGGCCACATAGCTAATACAGCTGCACAAACTGTGCAGGCTAAAATTTTCATTTGTGCAAATGTTTCAGGAAATTTTTAACACAATTAAATAAGGGCAAGCGATAATACAAAAACAGTTAAAAACATTGACAGATGCATTAACAATTTGTATAGATTCAATCAATGTATTGTAGAAAAATGTAAATAAACTTTGGTTTCGTTGTTCGTTAACACCTGATTAACTAGCACTGAGAATATCTCAACGTAGATATAATTCACAAACATGGATTAGCAATTGACAAATCAATTTTTTGCTAACCCCTGATGAACAAGCAATAAAAAGTTAGTTGCGTATCCTTTACAGGATGATGCAGAACCAACCTGTGCATTTTGTTGGCTGTTGTGGTTTTTCTAGACAAATTTTTCATTCAGTAGTTTGCCATTGCTTCCTGAATGGTCAAAACCAATGCTAGATGTTATGCTGCCAAATTATCCAAAGTTGGGATTGAACCCGGCACTACAAAGCATGTTTGCAAAAAAGCAGTAAAAACTTACAATAAACTAAAATGGATACACAAAAATTATGTGTCAAATGCACAGGCTTATGAGGTATCTCACATCAAATCTGGGCTTCAAATGGCTGTGCTCTGTAACCCTTATTGTAGATAAGCAACAGATTGTACACACAAAATTTACAGCATTATTTAAAGCAAGGCTTTCTTTTATGCACACACACCTTTTTACACCCAAAAAAAAAGGGAATATGAAAACACTGATTTGTTCTTACTGTTTGATATTAAATTAGCATTTTAAGCTATTGAAAATAAACAGCACACAGTATACACAAATTATCCCAGAAGAAAAACCTTAATTAAATAATCGTCAGTAATTTTTTTATTTTTTTTTAATGAGCAACACTTATAGAAATTTCAGAATTAAAAAAATCAACTGCCTGTCCTTATTTTAACATCTTGCATTTTAAAAATAAATGTATCAAAAATTAAAAAAAAAATATAACAGTAAAAAAACTGTAATAACAGGGATGAAATGTCTGCAATAGGCACTAATTGTAACAAGGAAAAAGCATATTAACAACAACAGCCAAATATACCAGAGAGAAAGAGAAAATAAACTGGAGTATTAAATGTGTTCAAGATTTATTTAAAAAAAAAAAAGCAAGTAAAATTATTAGGCAACAAATGATTACCTCTGGCAAATCTCCAAAGAAAGTAATATCACTCTGCATGGGGTAAAATGTTTCTTAAAGGTCTTTCACAAAAACAAACAAAAAACTGATATATCAAATTGCATAGCAAAAGGAAATTAACATAAGAGCAGTGTTACATTTTGTTGTGTGTAAAGAATGAGCAGATTAAAAATTATTTTTTTTTAAACTGTGTCTTTTATATTTTTTGAATGCAGTGTTTATTTCATATGCCTCCGTGTAGGTTCCAGGGTCTTACTGTAGGGAATACACGAACAGACCCACTGCCTTCCCAACAAGCATGTTGTAAGAGTCAACTAATTGGACACTTCCATCGAAGTTGGAGTGCATCTGCCCGAGCGGCAAGGTATAATAAACTGCACAAAAATAAGTCAGTAAAATAGATGTACACACAATACTCAGGTCTTGGCGAAAAGCCAAAGTGGACCAATCTTTCTTAATGTTCAGATCTTTTCGAAATTCAATATTTCTTATCTTCTTTGTACATGGTATTCTGAGAATCTTTCTATAGCATTTCAGATCAAAAGCCCCTATTTTCTTCCTTTAGTACTGGGAGATAGTCTACAACTCACATCCGTATGTTGCTACAAGGATGATGCATGCTCTAAAAATTGTAACTTTTATTTTCTAGCCAGTGTTTAACCATAGACTTTTAATGCTGTTTAATCTTTATGTTGCTAAAGCCATCCTCCTTCTGACTTCTGTCAAAGTCTCCATTGCTACTTATTATGGAGCCTCGATATTGAAAGTTTGTGACATTTTCAATTTCTTCATCATTTATTCTGGGTGACACAGTCCCGTAAATGCTGATCTATCGCTGTCTGCAGTGCTCTATCGTAAAAAAAACTTAGCTAAACTCCACTGATTCTATATGTGACTGCACAGTGCTCAATATATGAGGGTATAAATATAGCAAATAACAATGGCATTTAGTGGGTGTTCTTGAAGCCAAATTTGATGTAAAAACTCCTGTAAGCCCCAGTGATAGAGGTCAAAGCATGAGTCAACTTATACACATTGGGGATTTTGTTTAGGCCCTGGGGAATGTATTCGATTCAATGCTTAACTCTGTTCATGTTTACTGATTAACCCTTTAAATATCTTGATAAGTTTGGAAGAATTTATTTTTTAATGTAGATAAATAATCTTTTTTTTTTAAAGATAGTAATCTGTGTATGGTTGTTCTTTTTTCAAAGGATTTCCCTCTGGAATTCCCATGGTTCATAACCCATTTCTTTTAGCATTTGCAGAGCAAAAGAGTTAGCTGCAATTATCTTCTTTTTCTTCAAGTACATGCCATGTGGCATTGGCAGTCATGTGTTCCCACAACCTTCTGCCTCATGTACTTCCAGTCATCTCTGATACAGATGATCTTCCAGGCCATGATGTCAAATTGTCCAGCATCTGTTCTCTCTGTCTCCCCTCCCCCTCCAACTTTCCTACTGTAATGATGTAACTCCAGTTTTCTCTTTCTCATCACAATTAACTGTGTTAAATTAACAAAATCATTTTCTGATGCTGAATTTTTGTCTCTCTAAATAACAAGTGTATTACTTTAAAATGTTTTAAAATTTGCCTTCTTAAAAAAATAAAACATTCTCATCTTGGTCTTTTCACAACATAGTGTGCCACAACAAACCAGTAAAGAAATGATAAATTACACAAACAGAAGTCAGGAAGGTCTGTATAAAATAACTCAACAAATACTGTAAAAAGAAACTAGCATTTTTACAGTTCTGAAAACCTGTCAAAACATTGTTCAATCTAAATACAACAATAAGGGAATGTCTGACAAGAGAATATCTTCACTTCCATGAAATACATTCAACACAGTAGCATCAACAATTAACTGTTCACTCACACCATAGTTGACCAGGCTGTGAACATGTCAGCTACATATCTTTCTCATTATCATACCACATGTGAGCTGTACCAAAAAAAGTATGTACTGCATAAAACAATGTATGTACACAAAGTGTGTCCTGCTAAAAAAAATTTTTTTATCTATGTGTAATATATGCAAAAATGTTGTCAACATGTTCCATAAACCTTATGTACAAGATATGTCAACTGTCACTATGTTTCATAAAAACCTGTGTGCAAGTTATGTGAAATATCTCTCAAATCTTTCGTAAACACTTATGTGCAAGAAATGTGAAACATCTATTACCATCTTCCATAAAACTCTATGTGCATAATATGTGAAAAAGTTTGTCACTATGTTTCATGAAAATCTATTTGCAGGATATGTGAAGTCACAATGTTTCACAAAAATCTATTTGCAGGATATGTCAAAAGCTTATCACCATGTTTCATAAAAACCTATGTGCAAGAGAGGTGAACAGTCTGTCACAATGTTTCATAAAAAATTATGTGCAAGATATGTTAAAAGTTTGTCACTGTGTTTCACAAAAATCTATGTGCAAGATATGTTAAAAGCTGTCACCATGTTTCATGAAAATCTATGTGCAAGATATGTTAAAAGTTGTCACAATGTTTCATAAAAATCTATTTGCAGGATATGTCAAAAGCTTATCACCATGTTTCATAAAAACCTATGTGCAAGAAAAATGAAGTTTGTTCCAATGTTTCATGAAAAATTATGTGCAAGATATGTAAACAGTCTGCTGACATTTTTCATAAAAACCTGTATACAAGATATATGAACAGTTTGTCACCTTGTCTGTAAAAACTATGGGTAAGATATGTTTTCAATTTTAAAGTAACAGTTTAACAAACATCAAGCGCATTTCCACAGAATGATAGCAACATTTCCTCCAAAGAACATGTACAGTAAATTTTTCAACTCATGGGTGACCTCAAAGCCGTAGCTCTCACCAACAACAGCATGCCACGAGGCCCCAAACTTTTTGTCCATGTTGTCTTTTATCATCTTAGCAGCACTCTGAAAAACAGAAAATTACCAAGGTTAAATGACATTGAATTGTTCACTATGTGTGCAAAATGTGCGTGCTCACTCTTGTCTGCATCAAAAGCTTTCAGAAATACTTACTTAGTCGCTCCTCTTCTACTTTGGGGTGTAGAGGTTTGCCAGAGAGATCGCCAGACGTCTCTATCAGCAGTTTTCTTTCTGGCTTTGTTCCATTCCAGCCCTCTGTCAGTTAGGGACTGTCGGATGTTGTCTTCCCAGCGCACCCTGGGTCGTCCTGGAGGTCTTGTTCCCCTGGTTCTTAGCCTCCCATGCCTGCCATGGTGGCCGATTTTCTCCCATTCTGCATACATGTCCAAACCATCATAACTGTGACTGATCCACTCGGGTTTGTAAGGACTGGGTATCAAGATCTTGACGTATTGTCTGATTGCGGACTTTGTCCCTTCTGCTTTCAGAAATTACACTTAACCTCCCCCCGTCTGGTTCTATACACCCAGTCATGCCAACATAAAAGGTAATAAGCGAGCAGACCAAAACTGCCAAGTAATACACCAATACATATGTGATAAAGCAAGAACAGAACAGATATCATGAGTGCTGTAAAGAATGGGCTCGTGGACAATGATAGATTTCTAACACGATCGCATGATCATGGAGTGAAGCATGGCGAAGAAGGTCTATTAATATTCCATACATATAGGGGGAAAAAATTCACCACTGACAAGTATAATTGCAGCTGTTCTTTTTAGCTGTGGAGGACAGGCATCAAAATGTTTTTGTACTGTAGAGCATATTATATAAATAAAAAAGGTTTTTACCAAAAGAATTATTTTTCCTATGCATGGAAACTTATAGACTCTGAGACGCAGCTAGTAACAGTAACCTCCAAATGACTACATCGCCTCGCTGCAGGAAGTGAATTTCAATGCATGGCCAACTCAACATCCCAAGTGTTCCTCCTATCTCCCTACTTCTTTTATGAGTGTCTATGTCTTGAATCTGAATTTTAAATTAGGAATCGATCTCATAGCACTCAGGACACTCCCATAAGTGCTCTATCTCCATCTTTAACAGAAAGCGAAGATTTCCAATTCTGATGGTACCAGCAACTGTCTAATTGTACATCTGTCTCATCGTTCCCTTGAGCGTCGGCCAGATCCCCTGGTAACTTCCTGCAGCACCATTCTTCTCAGATCGTAATGATCTACTTGTGCCTCTGCACTGTTTACATGCTTCCAAAGGGCCCTCACAACATCTAGCTTGTCATACATAAATTCACCACCAAGTGGTGCAGAACAGACCAGTTATCCGCCTGCCCATTTTCCAACACACTAGCATGACCTGGAGAAAATATCCAAACGATGCTAACTACCCGGGACCTCTGATGCGATGCCTGCCACTCTGCATGGAGCATGCCTGTGTACAGCTGATTCTCAAGCTAGCAGTGACTGCCTCCACCTCAATTCTCAAACTAGACATTGTGATATCACGTGCCAGGCTTTGTTGCACTGAGCCATGTGCATGAGCTTTTGCTATGAACTCTCATACACTTTGTCTGCCTCTCAACACACAGCCATCTGTATAGATAATCATATTGAGCGAGAATTGTCATGAATCATTTGTTGAACTGATTCTGCAGCACCAGCTGGTGAGTCCCTGCACAGACAACCTAAAATAATTAGAACTCTACACAAATCTGATTCTTCCTCTGGCACTTTGATCCACTCCTCTCCTCGCCCACATTTATCAAGGTTGCATACAGGTCTATATATGTCTTCAGCCTGTGCCACTGTCTATGAGTGCCAACCAATACATGCTAATCTGTTTATTATACAGTATGCTGCAGTAAATCCGCAGCTATCGATTAGTCTATTTAAAAAAAATGAGGTCAGCACCACGTACCCGGTACGCTGGTCATAGACCAAGGTCCTGAAGTTATTTAACTATTCCTACAACTGAGATAAACCTTAACTTATTTAACCAATCCTACAATTGATATAAACCTTTACTTAAATTATTTAACCAATCCTACAACTGTGATAAACCTTTACTTCCCTTATGTAACCAACCCTATAATTGTGAAAAACCTTCACTTTACTTATTTAACCAATCCTACAACTGTGATAAAACATAACTAAAGCATTTGTCATCTCATATTTGCTGCTTTATATGTTAGTAAAGCTTTACTGTGCTGTTCTGTAGCTTAAAGGTGTTTAACAATTTCATGATTCTCAAGTACCAGGGTCCAATGTCTGCTGTGAGTGTCTTTTAAAAAGCCTTTTTCGTGGATTTTAAGCAGCAGATAGTCCTACCATGAAAGAGACTGGGGCTTCACCGCGTAATATTCCCAAAGGACGGTACTAGATGCGCTGTAGCCAACTGTTACCATGGAGATGGCACAAACATGTTTCATTACTTTCCTTAGACTGTTATAATAATCAATAATTTGAGTTTATGCAGTATGAAATGCTGAGCAGAATGAAATTCTGGCTCATTTTTATCTTGGCCTGGACATGGTTTGATGAAGATATTACCCTGTATGTGTCAACTCTTCCCTGTTGTCCTTTCTACTTTTCATTTTTTACAACACATATATGGTGTTAAATTTGTTTTTGCTTTGGTCTAATTGTTTCCATTTTTTTAAAATACACATTTCGAGTTGGAGAAGGAATGGGCTAAACAAAATACTAACTAAGCAGTTACTGCCTGTACCTTATTTAAATGCCATTATCTAATATAAAAAGATGGAAGACTCGATAAAGAGATACAGGCTAGAGTTCAAAAAGCCAATGCAGTCAACTACCAACTGGCCCCACTTCTTCGTCATCTCGTTACCAGCCAAACAACGGATGATCAACAGCATTTTCATCCCTACATTATGTTATCAGTGCCAATCGTGGACAATGAACAAATCACATATGCAAAAAATAACTAAGTGTGAAATGCGATGTCTCCGAAGAGTCACCAACAATACACGAAGAGACAGAGCCACAAACGTCAGCATTAGAGACAAAGTTGGATCAAGAGCATGCATGAAACATATTGAAAGACAGAGAATGAAGTGGTTTGGCCATTTAGTAAGAATGCAACCGGATCAGATTGCCTATAAGGCCTTTTACAGTAGAACATCGGGAAGAAAGGCCAGAGGAAGACCCAGGAAAAAATGGATAGATGGAGTAGCTGAATACGGCCAGAAGATCCAGAAAACTGTCACTCAAATCACGCGAGAGGCACACAAAAAATATTTACTGGGCTGCAACCCGGTAAAAGTGAAGAAGACAATAGAGATAGATATAATATAAACAAACTGTCCAGAGTAACAAAAATTCATGACTTTTAACTGTTACTCCCTGATCTAAGTTTTCTTTATTGACTGTTTGCTTTAAATCAACTGCACCATATTCTTAAAAATTCTACCATTTTTTCTATTATACAACATATTTTCTGTAAAAGACAGCTTTTCAGAAAGGAAGAAAAGATAACTGATAAAAATCCCACCTCATTATTTGATACAAACTTCTCACAAGCTGTTACACATAGTTCCATGGCTTCCGTCTTCATTTCCTCAGTCATATCCGAGTGCTGCAAAGAAATAGTGAAAAAAAAGCTTAAAAAATAAATCATGGGCAAAGGATATTTTGGCAAACAAACCCTATCACAGCAATACAGGGCCATTAGGAGATGTTAGGCTATAAAAGACAACTCAGAAACTGCAAATGGTCACCCAAAATGTTTGTTGTTTTACAGCAGCCAAATTCAGGACAGATGAATGGATGAATGAAATGCCAATGCTTACAGATTTCTTCAGCAAAAGTAATGGCAAAGGACCCTTTAAAACAGCAACAATGGTGTTGAACATATATTTTGTTATTGACTAACTACCACTCAATGGGTGATGCAGTAAACATCATGCCAATCATCTTTACTTCTCATCACATTGCCCAGTACAAATTTTAATTAAGCCGACTTGCAAAATAACACACTAGGGAAACAAATATTCATGTCTTCTGCATACTTAAAATTTAATTAAAAGACAAAAATCTGTATAATTGAATAAGAAGCCTTCCAATAAGTCACAAAAATGACATTAAAAAAAAGAATACTCACACAGGTCAAAATGTAAATACATATGAAATGCACAATCTGTTTGAATCACCAGTAATTACTAACATCATGAGAGCTAACAGAATGCAATGGTTGGGACTGAATGGCAACAAAAACACAAAAGAGATTTATGGAAGTAGCCCATGAGGTAGACCCATAACTTGGAATCACCAAATGGAAAGAGAAGGCCAATTCCAGAGGTAAATAGAGGGGGTTGATATATAGCAATCTTATCTCTTCTCTCAAGAGAAACCCCTATATGTGGCCTTTAACAACATGCTTGTTAAAGGGCAGTGGTTTATCCCAATTGCTTAAGCTTACTATGCACAACCATGGAGCTATGCCAAGCAAGACAAAATTAGGAACCCCTGTGTGGTTATTATTTAAAAAAATCAGGTGATGATGAAACTTCTATTTTTCAAATATGAAAGGAAGCCCCCTTCTTACATTTTCTGCCCTTTGTTTCAGTAATCAAATTAAACATAAAATTGTAACTATGAATTACAAGTAATATTTGTTCAGAAGTTGAAGAACAACCAGAAATTTCCAATATACAGCTGGGGAAGGTGAAGGAAATGTGGAATATGACAATGCTGACTGAAACACTGGATGCAGTTTGTTTTTAAAAAAAATTGTAACAGTATAAAACATTTTGTAGAGTTTAGAAAGAATATTTGTTCAGTGCCTGTAGGTGATGGAATATGTCAATCTTAGACTAGAATGCAGCTGTACTCTTTTGTGTAGTCTTTAAAGACATGTTATGCCATGAAAGAATCCTGAAGGATCTCGAAAGCAAAAAATATTCATCAATCAGCTAGACCAGTGGTTCTTAAACTGGGTGCCACGGCACCTAAGAAAAATTCATCAAGACAGTTTCCTTTATCGCACTGAAGACAACTGAAGATTAAACGTGCAGTCTGTTTTTCTTTTTCTCCTAGGTATTCAAACCGCTTTAAGGTTAGCTGTGCCATGAGAAAAATTTAGCCCGACAAAGGTGCCGCAGCACACAAAAAAGTTTGAGAACCGCTGAGCTAGACAATTAGGCAACAGTAGTCTTTTCCAGATTGTATGTATATATGTATATATATATATATATGTATATATATATATATATATATATATATATATATATATATATATATATATATACACACACACACACACATATATACATATATATATAATCTGGGATCTGCGTTAGCCTAGTCGATAGGAGGCTCGCTTTCAAATCCAGCTGCAACTCGCTGCAGCCACGGCGGGTGTTCGAAACCGGGCGGTTCCCGGGGTTCACCCCGCCTCTAGTCTCTAGGAAATAGGTACCAGAGTGACACTCTGGGGTAAATGGAGGAACGTCGCTGCAGCTACAGAGGTACGTGCGAACGGCGACACAGGCAGACAGTTTCTTATCAGCTGTCCATACTGGTGGCAGAGCACTTATGTGTGCAATGACGCTGGTTCACATTTCCGGATACATATATATATATAAATACATAGGCTATCCTCTGAATAATGGTCCCAAATTATCGAGGCCACAAATATACCCTAACAGGGCCTCAGTCACATGTCAATTGCGGACTTCAGGCGACTACCGCTACCGCCGAGAGTATCTCCGACGCCGCTATGTGCGGCGTGGAGCGGGGCTAAACTAGATGCCTAGGACTTAGAAGCAAATAACATTAAGGAAGCTGCAGGAGATGCGGTAGCTGCTGCTCGTAAGTCCCAGCTATCTAGTTTAGCCCTGCTCGGTGGTGGCAGTAGTCACCTGAAGTTTGCAATTTAAGTCGCAGCAAGTTACATGTGACTGAGGCCCTGTTAGGGTATATTTCCGGCCTCAATAATTTGGGACCGTTATTCTGAGGATAGCCTGTATACATATATTTAATATACACACACACACGCATATAGATGGGTGTGGGGGGGGGGGGTGTATATATATATATATATATATATATATATATATATATATATATATATATATATATATATATATATATATATAGAAACATACGCATATACTATACATGGGTGTGTGACAGGAAATGTTCAGTAGTGGGCAGCAACTCCACCTGACCTGGTGACTGACCTAACTATGCTACTAGTACTACTAGCCCCTAGGCAAACCTACCACTGTATGCGCTGGGGCCCGTAAAGCACTCAGAATAACAACAAAATTTGTATTGATGACAAGTCACTTGACACACATGAGCATGACTATGGAGCCCCCAGGTAAGAACTGCCCAGTGGGGCCATGTTTTAAAACGTCACCTGCACTGCTTTGTTTCTTTAAAAAAAAGGTAAATATTCGGCTCTCCTTTCAATACAGGACGAGGGCTGGACGGCTTAGTTCGGTTTAGTCGGAGTTCTCTCCCTTGGCCGCACTGAAAACAGTGAGCGGAAAAGTCCACGAATCAAATGACATACTTAGCTATCATCATACGGTTGCGTGTAGGGTTGCATAGTCGTCATACGGTTGCGCGAAGGGTTGCGTAGTCATCATACGGTTGCATGTGGTGTTACCTATCATCATACGGTTGCGTGTAGGGTTGCGAAGGGTGTCTATCATCATACAGTTGCGTGTAGGGTTGCGTAGGGTTTGGGTTAGGGGTAGAGTTAGGGTTAGTGGTTAAGGTTAGGGGTAGGGTTAGATGTGAAAATTGACGCTTGGCGAGGCTACAGCAACGTCACAAACTTAAGGCATGGCATCTATCTGCACGAGGTAGTAGTCCACCAGACCAACTTCGTCGACGTCGCGCACAGTCACATACACACACAAACAATCTAAGGCCTGTGGATGCTAGTCAAACGGACAATTCCCCAACGATTGGGCACCAGCCGCGCGCTATTGGCGTCATATTTGGCAGAGTTTCAGTGGCTGGCGCCACTCCCACAAGCATCAGATTGTGGGCCAGTATTTGGAACTCCACTGTCAAAATTGTCACATCTAACCCTAACCCAAACCCTACACGCAACCGTATGATGAAAGGCAATCCTTCGCGCAACCGTATGATGACTACGCAACGCTTCACGCAACCGTATGATGACTACGCAACCCTACACGCAACCGTTTGACGACTACGCAACCGTATGATAGGTAAGTATGTCATTTGTTTCGTGGACTTTTCCGTTCACTGTTTTCAGTGCGGCCAAGGGAGAGAACTCCCACTAAACCAAACTAAGCCGTCCAGCCCGCGTCCGGTATTGAAAGGAGAGCCAAATATCAGTTCAATATCTTTATATTTTTAATTATTACATCAATACAACGTTGTATATTTTAATTTATAATTATATAAATAATATAAATATTCAATATTGTTTATATTGTGTATAATATAAATAATTATAAATAATATTAACACAAATATTTCGGCTCTTCTTTGAATCGTTCCCCAAAATGGCGGCTTCGAAAGAGAGCTAAATTGGCCAATTTCTTGAAATAAAATATCCAAATGCGGGTCAGTTCTATTAAAAATATATGTGCCGGCTCTGGATAACGAAACAAATGCTCTGACAGGGTCTCGGCGATACGGTGCTTGCCGACCTGCTTCTGCGAGTGTGCCTCACCGCCGAGCATTTCTCCCATGCCGCTACGCGCGGATGGGGGCTAAACTAGATGGCTGGGACTCACGAGTGGCAGCTACCGCATCTCCTGCAACTTCCTCCAATTACTATACTCGTGAGTCCTTGGCACCTAGATACGCTCGGCGATGAGTTTAATCGCGTTTGGCGCATGCCGACAAGTCAGTCTGACATCTACCGCTGCTAAATCCTCCAATCGGAAGAACACACAGTATTGCTAATCGTTTTCATCGCCTGTAATGTCTCGAAATTAATTAACGGTCGCTAATATCGTCTGCTACTAGTACCGTGTGCAATGTTGTTGATATCATAGTGATTGTCAAGTAATCCTAGTTTTGCCGCGATTTGTCCCTTGGCAGACAGTCCGTATTTTAGATAAACGGGAACACCGTCGTTCGTATAATTTTGGATATTTTATGGCCAGAATGTGGCATGCCGCCATTTTGGGGAATGGATCAAAGGAGTGCCAATATTTCAAATAAATACCAAATTTATTATGCGTTAAAGTTAAATATTTCCATTAATTCTTTATTCTTACTTTGATTATTTTGCTTGTCTAAATTAAATTTAAAATTATAAAGCAAATAGAATAATATTAATATTCCTTCGTCGAATCACGAATCCTTGCGACGACAGGCAAAAAACAAAAACTAGACAATTTTCCTACAATTTAGACTAAATTTTACGGACGGTCTCTTCACTTACCCGAATCAAGGGATAAGTATGTATGCGTTTTGAATCCATGTCTATTTTCCTTTCGTCAGAAACTTCTGCCATTATTAACTAGCTGGATAATGTGCAGATAAAGAAGACCGAATGAACCTGTCCCCAGAAATCTGATGAAGTTGACGTCTGACGTCCACGGAAAACCTTCCTGAGATTGAAAATGGTAACCAAGTATTTCACGCATGCGCATGGACAGTATAAATCAAATGTTTCCTAACAGTGTATAAAATCGTCACCGGAAATTCGGAACAAACATTATTTTCGCCAACATCATACAGTAGTAGTAGTAGTAGTAGTAGTAGTAGTAGTAGTAGTAGTAGTAGTAGTAGTAGTAGTAGTAGTAGTAGTAGTAGTAGTAGTAGTAGTAGTAGTAGCAGCAGCAGAAGAGTAAGGAAAGAAAAAAAAAGAGACAATTAAAATACTTCGGCCACATTAAAAGACATAACACGCTTTTAAAAACCATACAGGAAGGAAAGGTCGAAGGGAAGAAAGCAAGAGGTGGGCAGCGATACAAGTGGAAGGAAAACATCGAGATGGACGGGCAGCAGTCGGACGGAGTGTACAACCAGGACAAGAGACACACACACATCGTGATTGTGACTGACTCAGAAAGCATTCTGAGGAAGGCCAGAACAGGCATGCTTCGTGCAGAGTGGCATGCTTCTTTGCGGAGGACACGAGTGACGTGTATTGTCTGGATTTTTTTTCACCAGGTTACGCTGGTGTGTTGGGAAATGAACAGGTGGACAGACAGGCTGGCTCTGCACAACTTGATGGAATACTGATGCATGATAAGACAGACGTGGTTAGTGCTTTGTGGGAGAGCGTGTACAGTTCGGAGGAGCAGATGCATCACCACAGTCTGGTGAGATTGATGCAAAGGGGGGGGGGGTGACGAGAGGTTCTGGCAGATGCTCAGAGGAAAGGCAAGACGGACGTTTAACCAAAATGCTTCTGGTACCATTAGTATCGGAACTCTTCGCTGGCTGCTGAGGATGGGGACGCAGAGCTTATGGGAATTTCCCAAGGGCTATGATGTCGATTCTTGAATCAACTCAGCTCTTAATAGTAGTAGTTATTTCGGAAAAGAGTTAATAACCGATACCTCATCCCTCAGGGCATTCCCATAAACGCTCTATCCTCATTACCAGCAACTAGCGTGAACGAGATCCAATACTAATAATAACAGTTGTAGTCTGTTTTGTCTAGAACCCCACTCCGCTCCTTTAAACTTTTTTTTTTAAATTATCCACTTTAAAGCTGTTGTAAGCTTTTAGATCCTAACGCTGGCACCTTTCCGTCTTTCCAGTCAAATGTGATATATTGCGCTATAGATATACACGAGAAACAACAACCCATGGCGGTAGCGAGTGTGACTAGCAAGATCGGCGCACGTTAAGAAGTTTTCCGCAGTTCTTCTTTTTCCTAAAGTCCACACCGAGTGGCGTTGGTAGTCATGTCTATCCACGACCGGATAGATTCGGTCTCATGTACTTTCAATCAACTCTGATACAGATGATCCTCCATGCTATGATGTCAAACTGTCCAGCATATTTTCTCTTGGTCTCCCTCTGCCTCTCCTCCAGTCCAACTTTCCCGCTGTCACAGTGTACTCCTGTTTTCTGCTTCTCATCACATGACCAAAGAATTTCTGTTGTGGGCAGTCAGTTCTTCCGTGAGTCGGTTTCTTTCAAGCCATGGCATCTTCATTACTCTTTTTACCTGTCCAGAGTATTATTATCATTCGTATATAAAACCACATTTCGCAACTTCCAAACAAAGCATGGTATTTCAGTACCATTGTCGCCTTTGCATGTATTTTATATCCTTCTTCTCATATGCCTAGCTCAAAAATAGGATCAAAGACCAACCCATCACCCTCACAATTTTCAAGGAGATAGGTATATGCAGAGTAACAGACATCCTCGTTTTGTGGGTGTGTGTGTATGTGTGTGTGTGTGTGTGGACATGTCCTCATTTCACGAGTAAATCTTAGCAGTAAATCTTGGAAGGTGGCATTCGGGAATCCCATACGTTTCTCCCGCGCCACATATAGACAAATCTTGCAAACATGTCAGTATCAGAAGACTATGCCTAAAAAGTACTCAGGCGTACGACGTAACCGACTCTTGACCAAGAATCGGAGGAGAAAATCGTGCTGGTGGCAGGGTCAGCCCAAAGGATAGAAAGATGCTTGCAGAAAAAATGTTTTTGAGGGTGGTAGGTAAGTGAGAGAAAAAGTCTGTTAGTAGTAAATTAGGTCAAGGTAAATATCACTGGAGGAGTATTCATGACTGCTACATGGCTTATAGGGAATAAAGAAGGAAAAGGCAAACTCCAGCCACCCCCAACTCAGTCCAGATTACTCTAAAATGTCAAATCAGACATCTAGATTACCTACTCTGCATCTATAATGTCTATTCATGTGTAAAAAAATTGTTTAGGGCTCAATGTTTAGTGGTAGGAAACAAAAAAATTGCAGGGAACAATTCTCTCTAAAATCTGCTTTTTACTCTTATCATATCTTTTTTTTTCTGCCACAAGTGAGCTCCGAAGTGTCCAATTTCTCATCTAGATTATCTTTTCCAATGTGACATGATAGTATAGGACTAAATTTTTAGGCTATCTCAATTTTTGCTCCAAGATTGCTCCAAAATGTCAAATCCTACATCCAGATTACCTACTCTGCATCTAGAGTGTCTATTCATGTGTAAAATAATTGTTTAGGGCTCAATGTTTAGTGGTAGGAAACAAAAAAGTTGTTGGGACATTTTTTTTCTAAAATTTGTTTTTTTACTCTTGTCTTATCTATTTTTCTGCCACAAGTGAGCTACGAAGTGTCCAATTTCTCATCTAGATTATCTCTTCCAGTGTGAAATAATAGTCTGAGACTAAATTTTCAACATTTGGAAAATGTCAGATTTTGGCCAAACCAAAAATGCGCGCTCCTGTGGAAAAATCTCAATTTTGGGCATTTTTAGGCTATCTCAATTTTTGCTCCAAGATTGCACCAAAATGTCATATCCTACATCTAGATTACCTACTCTGCATCTATAGAGTCTATTCATGTGTAAAATTATTGTTTAGGACTCAATGTTTAGTGTTAGGAAACAAAAAAGTTGTTGGGAACATTTCTTTTGAAAAATTTTTTTTTTCACTCTAATCTTATCTATTTTTCAGCCACAAGCGAGCTGTGAAGTGTCCAATTTCTCATCTAGATTATCTCTTCCAGTGTGAAATAATAGTCTGAGACTAAATTTTCAACTTTGGAAAATGTCAGATTTTGGCCAAACCCGACAGCGCGCGCGCCTTTGGAAAAATCTCAATTTTGGGCATTTTTAGGCTATCTCAATTTTTTGCTCCAAGATTGCTCCAAAATGTCAAATACTACATCTAGATTACCTACTCTGCATCTAGAGTGTCTATTCATGTGTAAAATAATTGTTCAGGGCTCAATGTTAAGTGGTAGGAAACAAAAAAGTTGTTGGGAACATTTCTTTTGAAAATGTTTTTTTTTTCACTCTAATCTTATCTATTTTTCAGCCACAAGCGAGCTGTGAAGTGTCCAATTTCTCATCTAGATTATCTCTTCCAGTGTGAAATAATAGTCTGAGACTAAATTTTCAACATTTGGAAAATGTCAGATTTTGGCCAAACCCGACAGGCGCGCGCCTTTGGAAAAATCTCAATTTTGGGCATTTTTAGGCTATCTCAATTTTTGCTCCAAGATTGCTCCAAAATGTCAAATCCTACATCCAGATTACCTACTCTGCATCTAGAGTGTCTATTCATGTGTAAAATAATTGTTTAGGGCTCAATGTTTAGTGGTAGGAAACAAAAAAGTTGTTGGGAAAATTTTTTTCTAAAATTTTTTTTTTTACTCTTGTCTTATCTATTTTTCTGCCACAAGTGAGCTACGAAGTGTCAAATTTCTCATCTAGATTATCTCTTCCAGTGTGAAATAATAGTCTGAGACTAAATTTTCAACATTTGGAAAATGTCAGATTTTGGCCAAACCCGACAGGCGCGCGCCTTTGGAAAAATCTCAATTTTGGGCATTTTTAGGCTATCTCAATTTTTGCTCCAAGATTGCTCCAAAATGTCAAATACTACATCTAGATTACCTACTCTGCATCTAGAGTGTCTATTCATGTGTAAAATAATTGTTCAGGGCTCAATGTTTAGTGGTAGGAAACAAAAAAGTTGTTGGGAACATTTCTTTCTAAAATTTGTTTTTTCACTCTTGTCTTATCTATTTATCAGCAACAAGCGAGCTGTGAAGTGTCCAATTTCTCATCTAGATTATCTCTTCCAGTGTGAAATAATAGTCTGAGACTAAATTTTCAACTTTTGGAAAATGTCAGATTTTGGCCAAACCCGACAGGCGCGCGCCTTTGGAAAAATCTCAATTTTGGGCATTTTTAGGCTATCTCAATTTTTGCTCCAAAATTGCTCCAAAATGTCAAATCCTACATCCAGATTACCTACTCTGCATCTAGAGTGTCTATTCATGTGTAAAATAATTGTTCAGGGCTCAATGTTAAGTGGTAGGAAACAAAAAAATTGTTGGGAACATTTCTTTTGAAAATTTTTTTTTTCACTCCAATCATATCTATTTTTCAGCCACAAGCGAGCTGTGAAGTGTCCAATTTCTCATCTAGATTATCTCTTCCAGTGTGAAATAATAGTCTGAGACTAAATTTTCAACATTTGGAAAATGTCAGATTTTGGCCAAACCCGACAGGCGCGCGCCTTTGGAAAAATCTCAATTTTGGGCATTTTTAGGCTATCTCAATTTTTTGCTCCAAGATTGCTCCAAAATGTCAAATCCTACATCCAGATTACCTACTCTGCATCTAGAGTGTCTATTCATGTGTAAAATAATTGTTCAGGGCTCAATGTTTAGTGGTAGGAAACAAAAAAGTTGTTGGGGAACATTTCTTTTGAAAATGTTTTTTTTCACTCTTGTCTTATCTATTTTTCTGCCACAAGCGAGCTACGAAGTGTCCAATTTCTCATCTAGATTATCTCTTCCAGTG